CCCCAAAACCCCAAAACCCCAAAACCCCACAGTGTTGTATTTACTTACTTTGTGAGAATCGATATATGATTGAAGAGACAAATAAACTTGATACCATATAATATCATAAATATTACTTATTATAAATGGCAACTTCTTTGTCAAATGAAACTTCTTCAGCTTCTCTTGTTGAGCTTTCTCAGACATCTCAGCTTCCTGGCTCTTCAAATGTTAATTCCTCAAATTATGGGTAGTCTTCGAAGCCAGTAAATTCTGATGCGAAAGTGACATACACAGGTAGCTAAAATTCAAACTCTCAGAGTTCCAATTGTGGTGCTGGCAGTTCAGCTGCTGCAAACTCAAGTAACTACTCTGGAGTCCAAACCTCCGGCTATGGTAAGACAAAAAACGGAGATACCTTGTATTCCTCTAACACGCCAAGTTACGGGACTCAGTCCTCTAATATGATACCGAGCTCTGCTACAATAGGATATCCTTTTTTCTGCCATAATTAGTATTTTTCGAGTATGGCTCAGAGTCAGACATCCACTTAATTTAATAATTATTCTAGCTCCAGTATTGGCTAGAGTTCTATGCAGTCGAATGCAGGAACTCAGTCGACACAGGCTAGCAGAAGAGCAGGCAAAAAGAAGGCACTACCCATCTAATAATAAAACCCAGAAACACGTCTATTCTTTCATCTAAGAAGACAGGAAACTTAGGCCCAGTAAAACAGAGGATCGTCACATTTTTACAAACCAAAGAATCCTCCTTCTTTAAATGAATGGTACTATCATTTTCCAAAATAATTTTTTTACCGGATAGGTTCAAAAAGCTGAGTATCGAAGAGAGAGTGAACGCCATGAGTACTGTTAATCCCCACTTGATAGAAAACTTTCAAATAATGCATTAAAAGATTGATACAAGTGGTTTGAGTTTCTTCGCATTAAGGGAAAAATAAAATTACATGGGTGACTATAAGAGTTACAACAGTGCAACTTCATAGTAACAATATTAGCTATTCCAATACTAAAACTTCTCTCAAATCATTTCATCTGATAATGGGGAAGATACTTTACTGTTTGATAAGCAATTCTACCACAGAGTTCAGAGTGAATACGAAATAGATAGTAACAGAGATAATTCAAGAGAAAAAATTAATGCTGAACATGTAAATTTCTTATTAATTTATTTATACTTGCAAAATAGGAAATAATGAAGCATGTTAGATTAACACATTATTTTGATTCTTTGGACACCTTAACAGTTACAGAGGATTTAGTACAAGATGCAGAACTATTTTTCAAATTGATGGGATATGCAACAGAGAGTCTAGCGTTCTCTAATCCATCTCAATTTTTCTATGATAACAAGAACTTACAAAATCTGATAGAGTATCCGGGATGGTTCAAACCTAAAAGCTTTTAGAGTTTTGCTACCTGGGTTATAGTTACTTTGGAAGAAAACATCTGGGCACAGTAAATATAGAATTACTTAACCATTCTCTAGTTATAATTATGACAATAACACCAATTTGGGAAATGCTAAGTTGAATGAACTCTCAGGTTTATTCCGCGAAAAAACTGAGAGAGGAGCGTAGGACGTTGATATAGCCAAACTTTCAAATTTCTGGCGAGACATGCCTGAAAATGAAAAGAAGAACCTCATTTCGAATCTTTAGATAAACTCTCTGAAGGAAATTGAGCAATATGAGAGCAATTTGAGTCAGAGTGGAGGAGGTTACTCAACCAAAACTTCAAAAAGCGGTACCTCAAAGAATATGCATATGCAGATGTTAATCAAAGAGAAGAAAGAATAAAATGATAAGTCCTCACTTTAGCAATAGCTGGAATAAGAGTTGTAGTACTATATTGACATGTCACAGAGAGAAGGATATGAGCAGGAAATGATGGACACCCTTACTTTTATGAAGTTTGAGAACACCCATCATCGCCAAGTTTTGATATGCAAAACTTACCTTGATTTAATCAAGCGAAAGTACAAAGATGATTTAATGGAGAATCTATTATTGGAGGAATCTGCAAAGCAGAATAAGTAACGATTATACTCTGTCTTACATTTTTTAGGAATATTAATTAGTCAGCTCAAGGTCAGGGCAAAAAGAAAAAGAAGAAGAATGCAGCTGCAAACCAGTAACAATAAAGCAATTAGAACCAATCTGATAAGTAGTTAGGAAATTAAGATACTGTTGATGTTTAAAATTTAAGCATCGATTATCAAGAGGATAATAATTAGAGGCCTCAAATGCCAGTTGCTAAAGCTAACAAAAAGAAAGTCAAAAACTCTACCGATTAATCGAGTAATGCAAATGAAGGCTTCAATAAACAGGTAAGTAGCAACAATAGTGGGATCTATAATGAATAGAGCACCGCTAATTTTAACTCTGGGTAACAAAACAACAGAAAGAAAAACAAGAAAAATAATTAAAATAATATGAAAACTTAATAATATCCTGATTAGGATAATTAGGTTAACGTTTCTATAAACTAGGATTCACACTCTTGTGATGAATAGCAAACTAATACTGATTCTCAAACCATTGAGTTAGAATCTAATGTTAAATGTTCATCTCTGGGATTGAAAAGCTCCTCCAATATTTATGATAACACAACAGCTCACTAGTCAAACAATAGTAATAGCAACTCCTCAGCAACTATTACCTCAACTATTCAGAACAATGCTGAAAGCATTCTCCAAATCTAATCATCAAAGTCTCTCGATGTAAAGCCAACAAATCCTCACAAACAATAGCAATCGAACACAGGTTACAAATAATAGAAAGCAGTATCAAAGATTGAGTCTAAAAACTTCTAGATATTGCAGGGGTAGAATTCTGAAAATGATAAAAGAAGTAAGGGGGAGAAGAAGATCAAATAGACTAATATCCACAACATTCATCAAGATAATGTCATATTTTCAGAGGATGATAGATAATCAAAGAAACTGTTCAACACTAAGGAATAAGTCCTTACATCAGAAAGTGAAAATGATAGCATGGAAGTAATATTCAAATATGTGAAGGAATTGACTGATGACATGATTAATAAAGTTTGCTTACTCTCTGAGAGAACAAACAGTAAATCATCTACTCGGGAAGAACTTAACATTAACAATGAAAAATCGTATGAACCACCTGAATACTATAAATTAGGAGCAGTTTAGCCAACACATTACAATCAAAGGAAGAAGTCCTTCTACAAGAATAAAAACAACAATAGAAAGTAAAACAATCAGCATAATTATGCAAATGAACCATACCACAGTAATTCTAATTAAATTGAGCATTATCATCACAATAATAATTCTCATCACAATCATGGTAACTAAGCTTACTAGTACACATCAAGTGGAGGCAGCAATTTAAACAGTGCTAGTGGAAACAATAGCCAATAGTAGTCATATGGGGACAAGAGAAAAATATCCTTCAATAACTCTAAAAAGTGTTTCAAGGATGACAAGAAGTTCAGTGAGGATTTCGCTGAAAACATAAGTAATACTTCATATTCAAAGAACCATTCAATCTAATCTATTCCTGACAGCAATTCCAACTAGATCCTTGAGGATTCATATCATGATAGAAAGGATAATAATTAGACAGATCAAATCAATAATAAGTTGATGAATAATGCCCAAAACAAATCACAGAGAAAGGGATTTGGCATTAATCTCAAGTAACAAGAATCAAAGCAAGAAGAAAAGAGTATTTAGAAGCAACCTCAAAGTAATCATTAATATGAAGATAGTAGGAATGTAAAGAATAATTAGTAACAGGAGAGTGAGCCACATCAAGCATGGGCAAAGGGAACTGCGAAATAACCCGATCCAGTAAAGTAAAATAAGAATAAAGATAACCATCACAACAAAAATCAGCACAAAAATGCAAACATTGATAATCAGAATTCAAACCAAAATTAAGATATAAACTACCAGAACTCTAAGTCTAATCAGAAAACTGATTAATCTGATAACATTACTAACGACGATGAATAGAGTTAAAGTGAAAGCCAGTAAAATAAAAAAGGAAGGAGAAATAGAAAGAAGAAGTAAATGAACAACATCGATATCATGAACAGCTTTATGAGAAATTTATAAGCCTCTTAAGATGAAGTCAAGCTTGCACTTGAATAAAAAACTCAAGGGTAGTTCAAGAAAAAACCCTAGAATAACGGTGGTGCTAATACAGCAAATGCTAACAGTAGCCACTACCAAAAAGTAAATCACAACAAGAACTAAAATACTGATACCTAATCTGAAAAGACTAGCAACACCTAAAAAATCGAGCACTCTTATCAATCCCAGCCTCAGTAGCATAATCCAGAATAAAGAAATAACCAGACTAAATAGTAAAATCAATACAAGCAAAAACCTCAAAAGTAAAATCTAAACCAGTCTAATGTTACAAGTTCAAGCGTTAATACTCAAGTCAGTGCACCTATAATCTTATTGTAGAAACCTAAAGATAACTCTTAAAAGCAATATTCAGAACATAGGCCAAGTATTGATACAAATGACCCAGATTCATAATTGAATTCTAGCTCTAATACTCAAAACCAAAACAGATAAAATCATCAGCATAAGTATAACAACTCTTCATAAAATAACCACAGAACTAATAATAAGAACTATTCTAATGGATAAAAATCCGTTACTAAGTTCTAAAAACATTAATCTCATAATCAAAAGTTGATAGAAAGATAAAATGATGAATTAGAATCTATTTAGAGCAATAAAGCTGATTGTATAAGTGATAAGAGCTCAAAGTCCTTTAATGAAAAAGTTTTGAGCTCTGAAACGCTAAACAATCTAAACTAGAAAGCACCTCCCTTCAAGTAATTGAAGTTCTTTCAAAATAAAGATTTTGACAATAATTCATTGACTGATGCTACTGTAACTTCCAACACCGCTGCAGATACCTCCCTAGAAAACTGCATTAATCACATTGAGGAATGCAAAGATCCCATAAACATTCAAGATTAGGAAAGTCATATCCAAATCTCTCTAACAGACAGTATCGATGCACAAAACCTCCTTAAAAACAATACCTTTGCCTATACTTTCTAGCAGTTTTCAACAAAACTTATAGAGTCTACAAAGTAGTAGACACTCTAAGAAATAAAGGATGCTGCTACAATTCCACCAATATTGCAAAGTCCTTAATCACTTTAAAACATTCAATCGAATGTGTTCACTCCTTAGTACATGCAGATTAATCAAATGAACTAATTCAATCAAACCATCTCAAATTTTGACTTCAATGAAAAGATTCCTTCTCAAAACACTGGATATTAATCTTTTTCAAACACTCCTCAAAAAGGCTAAATGAATCCTCAGAAAAATCCCTTCAAACCTTAAACTATTCCTCTCTCATCTCAAATGAGTTAGAACAGTTAAGAATCTGGACAAAACTACAGAACTCCCCCTCAAATTTCCAAGAAAACTAGCAATTAATATAATTACAGTAACAATGGTACATACAGGAAATCTCATGGAAATAACACCCAATAAAATTAGACTCAAAAATCTTATCAAGTTAAAGAGTACTATCAGCCTCAACCGAAGTAAAGCCAAGGGTATATATAGCCGATCCCAGTTCAATAAATGATATAAGAACCCTAATTCATTCATTAATACTAAGATCCAAATATGATGTATTATCAGGATTAATCGAATTACATGAGCTAAAATCCATTAATGGATGCTTTCACTCAGAGACCTCAAGAGTAAATCTTTCAATATGTAGAGAAGTCAGCTCCCCAAAATATGAATATTCCTTAATAAATCCCATATTACTAGCCAAACCCAATGATATAAAACTTCAGCCCTATATTGATGCCGCAACAAGACTAAATTAATATGCCCTTTAACTACAACAAAAGATAGTATTCTTATAATTAATATGATTAAGGATCAGATCTAATTATGTAGATTTGCAACTCAATCAAGTTCAATCAACAATCTCTAAGCCCTATTCCTCATATCATCAACTCTCCTCCTCCTTTGATTGATCAATACTCAATGAACTAGAATTTTGATGGTTCATAAATGCCCTTGAGAATGGACTCAGATGCACTTTAAATTACTGAAAATGCTTTCTATGAATAATTTGATAAGGAAATTGAAGCTCATACTAAAAGTATTTCGTCAAATTTAGAATTGCTCAAACCTGAAAGAGACTTTGTCTACAATAAAATCTTGAAAATTTCACAAGAAGTATATGTTGGCTAAAAACCTGAGCTGCAAATGTTTGGCTCCTTAATCACCGGACTCGCTCTTGAGTCGAGTGATATGGACTTAGCAGTGATTGGATTACTCATAGACGACAGATAAAGTTTGATTTGGGAGCTGAACAAGCTTGCAAACTAACTTTAAACTTGGCAATGTCTAGAAAGTTTCAAATCTATTGAAACTGCTTCAATCCCTGTTATAAAAATGGTATATATATCATAATCTTTTCAACTTTTTTTTAGAAAATTGATTTGATCAGACTCAGAGAGTAAGAAATGGCAAGTATCATAGGAATAGACTTTGAGTCTAGACCTATAAATGAAGAACTTCGATACTTAAGCGTAGATATCACATTTGATGATTCATCGAGTAGCTAAAACTTAAATGCAATGAGTCAAAACTACTTCACTGATATTATGGGTACAATGAACAATACAAAGACTCATCTTGGACTCCAAAGTTGCTCACTTGTTTAATACTATATTGCTAATTACCAAAATTTGAAAGAGGTCTCAATTCTTTTGAAAAAATTCTTGGCAATCCACAAATTTAATTCACCTTATTATGGTAATATAATATAATTAATTGAATTTTAGGTGGTATAAGTTCATACAGCACAGTAATACTATTAGTAGCATACATGAATTATTTTGGCTTGAGAGGAAATCACAACCTTTCCTCCTCGAGACTATTAATGGGCTTCCTAGATTTCTATGGAAACTACTTTAATCCCTCAAGTTGGGGTATAAATGTTAATAATGAAAGGTATTATTAAAATTAAGGTTAATCATACTATTAAGGTCTTTCTACTAGTTGAATAGCATGCTTGACTCAAACATCGTTATATTGGATCCGCTTAACTTATCAAACAACACCACAAGAAACAGTTACCTCACTAAAGACATTCTTTTGAAGTTCCAGTGTGCCTTTAACAATCTCAAAAGCCTCACCCTAAGAAATCCTATGCTTTATAATACTAGTCTTTCCTCATAAACCTAAGTATTATAAAATAGCAACTAATAGGATTAGAATACATCGATACCTATAGATAAAGGATCTCCTCTTATCAAAAACTACTAGAACTCTGGTATTACGAACCAAAATTTCTGGCAGTATGGTCATGATTTTGAGGTTTAGAAGTCGCAAGAGGAGATTGAGGCCAGCAACTTGATGAATAGCGAAAAAGTACTGTCTTAAATGACAGAATCAGTCAACGAATTACCACCATTCAGTCAAGTTAACTTGCTTGAGACATTTTTTGCTTCAGAAACACAGCCGATAATTGCTATTAGCAGAGAGTCTTCAAGTCAATAAGAACCAATTAACCTGAGTTTGGGCACTTCTTAAAGTAGCGTAGGCATAAATGGAATGGTCTGAGACCATGAGAGCAGAGTGCACCAAGGATTCAGTCATACGGTCTGATGGAAGAGCAGGTAGACTACTATTCATAGGAGTAGTGAAAGACCTATTTATTAAATAAGCGCTCAAGGACAAAATGAGTCGCTTCTTTCAGATTAAGACATTTGACTTATTTTCCTTCTTTTCTTTCCTCTTTTTATACTGAAAGCGCCCATCATTTATGCTCTCTTTATTATATACCAATTAATATTATAATATCCAATACCTCACCTTCTATTCTGATTTCGAATATTAAAAAGTCTATAATAGTAGTGGGGTTTTGGGGTTTTGGGGTTTTGGGGTTTTGGGG